GGGGGCCGGGGGGGAAACCCCGCCCCCCCCCCCCCCAAGGCAGTCGGCCAACTGACAACCACGCAGTCGTGCAACCAATCACAACGCACTGGAAGGAAGTTCTCCAAAAGCAGTCCCAGAAAGGGCAGGGTCAGGTTAGGGGTGGTCACAGGAGTGGAGGTGGGTCTACAGCCTCCTGGGCACGACTTCCTTAGAAGGTGCAGTAGCCGTGGGCCAGCTCATGGTGTGGTGGGGTGGAGGCAGCTGGATCCCACATGACCAGCCATGTAGTTCGAATCCTGGACCGGCCAGCTTGAAAACACAGCAGTCACATATGTACGTATGCCCAAAATCCCAAGAGGAGAATGGAGGAAAAGGGAATGCAGCTTAGCAGTCCCCTCTGGGGAGCACTTTCTCACCTCACTTTCCCTGTCTCTTCCTCTCTCACTCTGGAAAGCACATGTGCCCTATAGCAAAAGTAAACAAACAGAAGAACACAGCGGCCTCTCCCGTGGCTGGAGGGCAGCTCCTGGCAGCCTCACATGGCACTCCCCAGTGCTCGGGATTAGGTTGCCTTTAATGCTCATTTGCCTCCCTAAGAGGATCGTAGGATCAGCTGTTGAGATAGCCCCAATCTGGCAGGGCCTGGCGCGTGGACAGGGCACCCAGAGGCAGCTGGCTAGGCCTCAGCGCTCCCTTCCTCTTCAGGCCCCGGGGCGCAGAGTACTGTGCCCCTGGGAAACACCCCATATATGCTTCTTCACATTGGAGCCTGGTAGTATGGCGCATGGGATGGGGTGAGGGGTGGTGAGGGGAGCTGGACAGGAGACCCTGAGTTCCAGGCTGAAATCCCTCTGGGTTCTCTGGTCATCACCCCCTACCTGACCCCACAGGCATTCCGAGTTCTGCCCCAGTGCGGGCAGACCCGCATCCCCTTCCGTCGTTCCCCTTAGTACTGACGGCATCTTCCAAACAACTACCGAAGATGAACGGGAGAGCTGACCACAGGGGCACTCATGCTTAGGGAGCAGTGATTTGTCATCCTGCTGTCTCAGTGACTCGGGGCCTGTGGCCTTGGGGAAGCAGAGCCCTGCAGAAATGGCTCCAAGCCAAGAACACAGCAACAGGGAGCCCGGGGCTCAGAGGATGCTAACCCAACACCAAGAGACTGGGCTGTAAGCCAGAATGCCAGGTCACTGACTCGATTCTGAGGTATAACAGACAAAAGCGCCATCTCGGGGTTGAAGAGCTGAGTCCTCTGGTCAGTCCCGCCTCTCCGTATGGGAAATCTACATTGGAAGCCACGCTATGACTGACCAAGTCCCGTGAAGCATGGAGTCAAGCGAGAACAGAGAATCAAAGTACCGTGATGGCGAAGCTGGGACGGCCAGCCCCGTGCATTCACCTGCCACGAGGACACTCAAGCCACGGGACCAGACATCCAAGTCCTCAGGCAGGGTATTCCGCTCTACGAACAGTCCTGGGTAAACTGCCCCTCCGGCTCCCATTTTTAATAATAATAATATCATTGAATACTAGATTCTATGCTAAGAACTTTAAACCTCTTCTTAAAATATGTGTTTTTTGTTTTTAAAGATTTTTTGCCATAGGGCATGTGCATTTACTGGAAACAGACAGAGAAGAGAGAGAAAATGAGAAATCACTCCCTGGGGGGGATGGCCACACCGCAATCACTTCTCTTCCATTCTCCTGGGATTCTGAACACGCACACAAATGCCTGGCATGATTTTCAAACCACCTCGTCTGGGACTCAAACTGTGGTCAGCCATGTGGGAGTCCAGTGCCTTAACTCCCATGCTGCTGGCCCCTAAGTATATTTTTAGAAATTTGTGATACAGTGTGTGCATGTGAGAGAGAGGAGCACATTCCACGGGACGTAGCATCCTCCATCCCGCCAGCCTATCAGATCTAGTATGCACTAGTGTGCATGCCTGGTGTGTTTCAGGCTAACCAGGCGGGAGATTTGAACCGCAGTCACCATGTGGCTTCCAGCAATGTGCTCTGACATACGACCACCTGTGCTATATGTTAAGCACTGTATAAGCATTATCTCAGTTGGGACCAACAGTGGCAAGGTGGTCAAGGCACTGGACTCCCATATGCCTGACCGTGGTCCAAGTCCTGGAACTAGCAGCTTGCTTTCTCACTTTCCCTCCCTCTCTCTGTCTCTCTCTGGTGAGCACACATGCCCTACAGCAAATTAAAAAATAAAATAAAAATAAAAAACAAAGAATTATCTGTTTATTTTCACAGGAGATCTATCTAGAAGATACCATTATTGGGGACCTGGAGGTGGTGTGGTGGTTAACACGCTGGACACTCCCACATGGCCAACAAAGTTTCAAGTCCTGGAGCTGGGAGTTTGCCCTTTCTCTCTTTCAGTTTGGGTCCCGAACCTGGTGACTTGCTTTCTCTCGTGCCCTCGCTCTCAATCTGTGTCTCTCTCTGGTCAAATTAAAAGAAATGAATGAATAAATATAATTAAATAGGAACCAGCAGTTGGCGTAATGGCTTTGTCACTGGACTCCCATGTAGTCGACCATGGTTCGAGTCCCGGACCCGATGGCTTAAATTCATGCCAGGCACACGTGTGTGCATGCCCAAGATCCTGAGAGGAGAATGGAGAAGGGACTGAGGTGTGGCCATCCCCCATGGAGTGATTTCTCCCTTTCTGTCTTTCTGTCTCTCTCTGTCTTTCTGGTGAGTGCACACACCCTATAGCAAAAACCTCTTAAAAAAATAATGAAATAATTCTTTTAAAAAAATAAAGAAGATAGTATTTTTACTATTCCCATTTTCTAGATGGGGAAACCGAGGAGAGTGGTTAAGGGACTTTCCTAAGGCCATATATAGTCAGAGGAAGAGCCAGGATTTGAATCCAGGCCTGCCTCACTACAAAGCCGCGCCTTCACACAACGTGCTCCAATTGCTTCCTGGTTTTCAGGAGGCCCACTCACAGCTATGCCTACGTGACATTAAGTTGTTTTGATGACCGATGACAGACGCCTTTCCACACACATCTGCACGGACAGCAGAGGCAGACGCTCTGGAGTCAGAAGAGCCCCTCACCCTAACTCTCACTACTCACTGGCTGCAGAACGGCAGTGGGCACTGTCGGCCCCCGGGAGGCCTGCCACCCGTCCTTTACCAATTTGCCTGTTCCTAGGTCCTGGCACGTGTTTGCTCCGCTCAGTTTGTGTCTGAGACTGTTCAGGTTGAAACTATCCTCAGGGGATCTCGGCCCGAGATCAGTCTTGCCCGGCCTCTTCCTCTTCCCAGGTCCAGCTTCTTAGCAGCTTCCATTGGGCGTACTTTCCTAACAAGTGACTTGGACGTGAGTCTTCATCCCAGGATTTGCTTCTGGGGAATCAAACCTAACACAATGATCTACAACAGGGGTTGCCAAATCCAGCTTGCCACCTATTATTATTTTAATTGCCAAAGGGTGCATGCACTTGCCAGAGAAGACAGGGAGAGGAAGAAAGAAAAGAGACGGAAGGGAGAGAAAGCATCCCCAGCAGTGTGTGGTCATGCCACCACCCCTTTTCAATTCCTTGTCCTGTTGGGATTTGGGGTGTGCACTGCATGCACTTGGTTTGTTTTTCAAGCCTCTGAGGCCAGGATTCAAACTGCAGTCACCCATTTGAGATCTGGCTCCCTTAACCAGTAGGCCCTGGGGCCAGCACACCACTTAGTTTTTATTTTTATTTGTTTATTTATTTATTTAGGAGATTTTTGTTTGTTTGTTTGTTTTTTGTTTTTGCTATAGGGCATGTGCTCTTGCCAGAAAGGGAGACAGAAAGTGAGAAATCATCCCCTGGGGGGATGGCCTTCTCTTCCATTCTCCTCTCAGGATCTTGGGCATGTACGCACACATGCCCGGTGTGAGTTTAAGCCACTGGGTCTGTGACTTGAACCGTAGTCGACTACACGGGAGTCCAGCGACATACGCATTATGCCAACTGATGGTCCCTTTAATTTTTAAAAAATAATTATTTTATTTAACTTTATTTATTATTATTATTATTTTCCAGTTTGACCAGAGAGGCAGAGAGAAAGAGAAAGGAAAAGTGAGAAAGCAAGCCACCAGGTCCAGGACTTGTACCGCGGTTGGACCGGTGGGAATCCAGTGCCCCTAACCATCATGCCACCTGCCAGCCCCCATCACTTAGTTTTTAAAATAAAGTTTTACTACGGCCAGGAGGTGGTGTCGTGGTTAAGGTGCTGAACTCCCACATGGATAACCACAGTTTGAGTCCTGGACCCGGTGGCTTAAAACTCGTGCCAGGCGAGCGTGCGCTAGTACCTAAAATCCAAGGAGAATGGAGGCGGAGGGATTCCAACATGGCCATCCGCCTGAGGGGATTTCTCACTTTCCCTCTCAATGTCTCTCCCTTTCTGATGAGACACACACCTTATGGAAAAACTTTTAAAAAAACAAAGTTTTTTGAACACCACTGTTCTCACTTATGGAGTTCGTAGCTGCTTCTCCACTACAACAGCAAAACCGAGTACTTGTGACAGGGAACGTGTGGTCAGTGAAGCTTAAAATACGTACTACCCGGCCATTTTCAGAGAACGCTTACGGGCCCCTAACCCGGAGTGATTTCTTAGTGCTATTACTCCTTTCTGGGGACTGTTCTGAGGACTGTGGAGTCAGGACTTCATGCCCTGTCACCTACCTGGTGCTCCACTTCTGTTTGTGGAGGTGGGATGCTACTGGAGCTCCCCAAGTTGTAGGTCCTAGTCTTAGAACTTGATGGTTCTTTTTTTTTTTTTCTTTTTTTTGTGGAGAGAGGCTTTCACTATAGGATAGGCCGCGTGTGCTTGCCAGAAAGACAGAGAGAGACAGAGAGACAGAAAATGAGAGATCACCCCTCCCCCCCACCGAGGGAGGATGGCCACGCAGCAATCCCTTCTCCTCCATTCTCCTCTCCAGATCTTGGGCATGCATGCACATGCACCTGGTGTGAGTTTAAGCCACCGGGTCCAGGACTTGAACCGCGGTCAACTACGTGGGAGTCCAGTGACATAGCCATTACACTAACTGCTGGTCCCAGAACTTGACGGTTCTACCTGGGAAGTTTGCCCTTTTGAGTTTTAGATTTTCCCACCCCTCCTGTGGAGAAAAGGGTACCTCCTAACCAACTAGGTTTTAGGGCAGTTTTCCCACCAGTCAGGAGCATGAGGATCTGCTGTGCTGCTTGCTGAATCTGTAGATTCCTAGGACCCAGACTAGACCATCCCTGGAATTACAATCTCAGGATGGGGCCTAGCTTTCTAGGCAATTTAAATGTGCATTAAAGGGGCCAACAGGTGGCATGGTGGTTAAGAGTGCTAGACTCCCACATGGCCGACTGCAGTTCAAGTCCAGGACCTGGTGGTTTGCTTTCTCATTTTCTCCCTCTCTCTCTCGTTCTTTTCCTCTCTGGCCAAATTTAAATGAATAAAGTTAAATAAAATAATTCTTAAAAAAATAAATGTGCATTAAAGCTTGAAAAATACAGATCTATGGTAAATCTATAAATAAAAGCAATGGTTTAAAACCACAGCATTCAAGAAAGTGCTTATCTCTTTCCTAAAAAGACATTTTGGGGAGACCACATAGAGTTTTATATATTGGGCTTTTTATTTGCTGAGCATCGTTCTAGATATCTTTCATATTCAATCATCTTAAGACCTGACAAGGGACCAGCAGGTGGCACAGTAGCTAAGGTGCTGGACTACCACATGGCTGACCGTGGTTGGAATTCCAGATTTCACACCGGTGCATGTGTGTGTGTGCCCAAAATCCCCAGAGGAGACTGGAGGCAGTGTGGCTCTCCCCCCAGGTGTGATTCTCACTCTCCTCTGTCTCTCCACGCCTGTATGGCAAAACCCAAAACAAACAAAAAACAAAACCTGACAAATAAGTTATGGTCTTTGTTTGCTATGGGTCACACGTGCTTGCTGGAAAGAGACAAAGAGAGCGAGAGAAAGTGAGAAATCATTCTCCGGGGGGATGGCCACGCTGCAATTCCTTCCCCTCTGTTCTCTCCAGACTTTGGCACGGGCCATGGCATGACTTTGAAGCTGCAGGGTCAGGACCTGAAGCAGGCAGTTGGCCCTGCAGGACCCAGCTGCCTTCACCTCCACACCACCTGTCGGCCCGGTACTGTGCTCTTTGTAAGACTGTGAGCACAGAGGTACAGAAATGTTCCAAGGTTACACAACTAGCGTCAGCTGGACCAAGGTTCTAACATAACCGGCGCCTCCGGAGTCCAAGTTCTTCACCAGTAGGTTATATTTCCTTTCTAGTCTTCTAGTGATACTTTAATTTTCAGACTGTGCAGTGGACACACATTAGATTTATTATTTATACATTAGATGTATACTGTATGCATATTTAAAATCCCGTTTTACATGAATTAAATATTTCTTTTTTAAAAAAATATTTTATTTGACTGTATTTTTATTTATTTATTTTTAATTTGACCAGAGAGGGACACAGTGAAAGAGACAGTGAGAAAGCAAGCCGCCAGGTCTGGGGACTCCAACGCGGGTCTGCCCTGTGGGAGTTCAGCGCCCTTAACCACCACCATGCCACCTGCGGGGCCCCAGTGAATTAAATACCCCATTTCAGGCTGACAAGGAGAGAGCCCCGAGGGAGCTCGCCTTCTCCGACCTCCTCTAGCAGTGCCAGCTTCTCTTCCCTTCGGGGGAATTGCACCTATCTCGACTGCATTCTCCCTTCTGATCCGCGGGGGCACTGTTCCCACCCTCACTTCCCTCAGGGCATAGGACCAAGTTTCAGTTAGGAATAGGAATGATGTGATAACTTTGTCTACGTGGGAAGGCTCCCGGTGACCATGGGCGCAAAAAGAACAGAGCTAGGCACTGTCCTCAAGGTGCCTGTACGTTCCTCGTCCGACTTGAACTCGCAGTCCCGAATCTTAAGCTCAGAACCGTCCCTGCCCTCCCGGAAGTTGTGTAGTCAATCAGCGCTGGGACTCGAAGGAGGTCCTCTGAGCGCTCCGGAGCCCGAAGCTATCTCCCGAGGGTCCTAGAGAGGCAGCCCCCCGCCCCCACCACCACTAACGCTCAGACCCGGAGGGACTTTATCCAAAGGGTCTCCCAACTGACAGTCTTACTCCTGCTTACCCCGCTAAATACAGCCAGGATTCTGAAAGCACACGGTCTTAGCTCCGGCTGGGGCGTCCCGGACTGGAGCAGACAGACCGGAGGACGCCAGCAGGGCCAGGCCGGGGCGCGGCCCGATTGGCCAGTGCCACCTGGGCCAGGAAGCGCCCGCACTACCCACCTAGCACGAGGATACGGTCTTCGGGCCGCAGCTCCGGCTCTAGGAGCGCACGGAAGGAGGAGAAGTCCCCGAACCACTCGTAGGGCGCAGAATCAGCTGCGTCTCGGTAGCGCTGATCCCAGTACTGAACCTCTCTGTACCCGCAGTTCCGCTCCGGCAGCTCGGGCAGGGGCGCCCGGGCCCCGGGAGAGGCCATGCTGCCGGCAGCTGTACAGCCGGAGCGCAGCTCGGGCAGCCAATCCGGAGGGCGGGATGGAGGCGGCAGCCCTTCTGTCCCCGCCCGCCTCCCGCAGTTGCTCAACACAAACACGTGGAGCTTCCGTCCTCTGCTCAGCGCGCTTCGAACAATGCTCCGGCTGGGAAAACCGCATCGTCTGGAAGGTGAACCCTCCGACTGCACCGCTGTGGTCACGGTGTCAGACCCACTGGGCTCATCACGGCGTCCGCGTATATTTCCAAGTCAAACGGCACCTTCCAAAAACTGAAAAATCAGGAAAGGTCCATTTCTTCCTCAGCCTCTTTTGAGCACCTGGAAGTTTCCGAGGAAGGCGGGGAGGGCGCGGACAGGGGCTCTGCCCTTAGGGAGAGTCAAGCGTGAACTCAGTTGCTCCCCGCGCCGGCGAAGTGGGGTGCTGGGCCTCGCGGGGGTGTGGGTGCTGCGTTTCTGGGCAAACGTTTCGTCTCCATTAACACTGGGTGTATTACTGAGGAGTAAGTCTTGATTCCTGCTCTTACAGTGTGTAGTCCATCAGAGGAGCCAGTGTGGGAAAATAAAATTTAAAGTTGCGTAAATGCTCTGGCTGCTCCGGCTGGCTCCTAGACCGCGGGACGCCAGGCGCGAGAAGCGGAACCTAAGTGTCGACCCGCCGAGTTTTCCGGAGTGGCGATTAGCGCCGCACCGTCAAGATGGCTGCGGGGCTGCGGAAACGCGGCCGGGCGGGGGGAGCGGGTTGGGTTTTG